CCAACAAACATTTACATGGGAAGTGAAAATACTTACATGGGAAGATCTTTTCTTAAAAATCTTTAAGAGCAGGGAGTGTGCATCCTACTTGTGCACCCAGACAACATCAGGACACCAAGCAAATTAAAAGGAGGGCTTGAATGCTTGGTCAAGAGCACTGCTCTTTGTAATGCCCAGAATGCCAAAGCTGCTTTTCCTCCGTAAGGACAAACCATATAATATGGAGGAAAACCATTAAGGCACTAACCCTTTGTTTGGTAGTTTCCCCATTTTTTGAGGCCCTGCATTCTGCTTTTAACTTCGAGATGCTCAAGGTCATTGGAATAATTGGGAAAAGTAAATATTTCCTAACAGGAAGGGGATTTCACTGCATTTTATGTCAGATTCAAGGAGAATCCTATCTACCTCACAGCTCATGCTGCAACTGCCAGCCCTGCCCATCCATGCCAGGGCATTTCAGGAGGAACAGAATATGCAGGCTGACAGGGAGACAGTATCACGCTTGCTGTGACTTAGAAAGTCTGTAGGAACCCATCACTCCCCATGCTGGAAGCCTGCAAAATCTCCTGTCAAGGAGGCATGAAGCAGGAGAAAACCTGCCAGGAATTCAAATGAACCTCCAGGATGGAGCAGCTTGCACCGAGGCTCGGGGTTATGCTCTCTGTAAGGATCAATGCTGCTTCCAAAGGTGGCAGAGCAGCATCTAGGACAGCTGGTGCTAGGTAAATATCAGCTATACCTACGCCAGGCTTTGCAAATGAGATTATTCGTTGCCTGTGACAAAGAAGGGCAGTGCCACTGGAGCAGGGCTGCAGGAGGTGAGCCCCTCGCAGCCTGCAGAAGCCTTCATGTATGAACCTGCCAAAGCCTCCCAGGTTCTGCTGGAGTCACTGAGACTGGAAGGTGCCTGGTACCACGAGATTGAACCTTGACTTTACTTCTCTGGCAGCCCTAGAAGTAAGCAGCCCTCAGATTAGACTTAACTGAGCAGCAGAGGCAGAGCAATGCTGGCAAAGGTCCTCCAGGTGCTGCTTTTTGAAGCAAAGCCTCCGATCCCTCCCCGAGGCCTGTGTCCTGCTCTGCCTGCAGTCAGGGCACGATGCTTTGCTCTCCTGTGCCCTTGGGCTGGGCTCTGGAAGCTGCATTCCTGGGGAGCAGTGGGGACAAAAGGACCCCCTCTTAGCAGGTGCTGCAAGAGGATGGGACGAGGTCCCCAGGACTACAGACTGAGGAGAGCAAAAGAGGCAAGGCAAAGACTTGTCCCCGCATTTCATCCTCGGGAACTTCTACCTGGTTTAGCCACGCAAACCCATCTCTATTTGTTCCGTTGTTAATCCTTTGTCTCCTATCTCATTGACTAGGAATTGTGATCCCCATAAGCAGGGCTGAGGTCTAAATCTTCCTCTGTTCTAATCCATAACAACACAGCAAGGTTTCTTTCAGCTTTGGGTTTAAAAAAATAAATAAAAAAAAAGAGGGAGGATTATTTAGCATAACGACAACTTCAAGCATGTTCATTCTGAGCTGGGTCTTTAGAATTATGTAACAACTATCCTGGATAGCAAAGGTGAAAGAAATAAATAAATAGAAGTTATGACCTGCTTCAGCAGAGGGGAAAAAAAAAAAAAAAAAAAAAAGAGCAGAAGTCATCCAACAATATTTAAAATAAAGAAAATGGGCTTTGAAAGAAGCTACCCACAGGGCAGGGAGACAAGCTAGACCTCTCTGACAAGCTTTGCTAGAGCCTTTCAGAGACTGTACCTGGATACAGCGCTGGGCTGGGGCTGCCTGTTCAGTTTTAAGATACCAGGGAATATTTTGATAAGGGCAAACTAAACCCAAGGAAGTACAGAGATTCTAAGGGGAAGGGGAAGCACCAGCGTTAAAGTTTCCCTCTTGAATTTTTAGAAGCCGCCTTCCAGGTTCTGCTTCTATTCAAATGAAAAGCAATTTTCTATTATATGACTCAGATAAATTAATTGTAAACAACTGTAATGGATTTAGATCCTCGTGATGTAGCTGCAGTCTTTTTTCACTTGCACAAGCCGCCCTCCGCATCCACACGGAAACCAGGCGATTTCCCATCTCTCTGAAGCCCTATAACAGTAGGGCTGGAGGAGCTCTGCCTCGCCGGTCAGGTTTATCTACGTACGAGGTTAAGTGCTGATGAGATTTGATAGCCTGACACTGCAGAGACAACTACATTAAAACCCCATAAAAGTCAACACACACACACACTAACTCTGTGCAGAGAGGGAAGCTTCAGCAGCTCTTGCTGGAGTCTCACAGCTTCACATCAGCACCGCAGAAGTGTCCTGGGGATCTGGCTGCTTAATTTCCCCAGGTACCCCTAACGACCCGAAGTGCAAACCTTGCACTTGCGGGCTCCTGCTTGCCAGAGCACACCAAAAGGAGATGGAGCCACAGCCCTCTGCAGAACCCGTGCGAGCCTTTGCTCTGCCTACAAGCCTCGATCTCTTGTTAGGGGCACTCCGTAATCACCACATTTCCACTAAGTGGGGTTAAAGAGATGGCAGGGAAGGATTCAAGGTACTTGGCGGACATGAATAATTCACACAGCAAGCCTCGTCCCAAGGACACGAGGTCACCTGGTCAGGCCAAAACCAGAGCACTGGAAGCAAGGATTGCTTCAGTGGAAACTTAGCTCCTTTTTATCATCTCTTTACCATTCCCCATCAGCATACGAGCTCTGCAGCAGCAAAGGCATTTTGCTTCTCGTCTACATGCATTCTTCCTTCTCTCCCAATCCCCTCCACGTGCAGCTCTTGGTTTACACTCAGGCTCAGCCCCCAGCACGTTCCTGCTCACACCTGGGCTCAGCACCTTCCCCAGCCACCCTGCACGAGCTAAACCTGGAGGTGCACCCACAGGACTCCGAGCCCTCCTTCATTTAGGGGGTACGACCACACCGAGACCTGCATGCAGGGGCTCCATGGAGTAGCAGCATCCCCGCAGACAGCTGGCAGGAGCACAGATACGAAGGGTTAGGCCTCATTTCTTGCTATTCTAGTTAAAGCTACCCGACCATTCCTGATGCCTGTGCACTGCAGAAAGCCTTGGCAGTGGCACTTTGCCAGCAGGAGCATCGATTATACACAAGACCCACAACACGAAGACAATTAGATCGCAGCTCGGCAAATAATTCATTATGAATTAATACCGTTTGAGAGCTTGGGATATTTTCCATTTAATCATTAGCTGTGAGACGAAATGATTGGATTGCCTGACTTGGTTTAAATCAGATCCCTAGCCACAGCCCAGGCAACAAAACCGAGGGAACATCGCAGCCTCCGGTAACCTCTGGCAGGACTCGAAGGGTGATTTTGGAGCTTTGTTGTCCCAATAACCAGCACTATCACACGGCTCGAGCTCAAGTGAGACAAAGCCAGTCCCCAGACCTCAACCCCTGCAAACAAAGTCCATTTTCAAATTTCACAACTTGAGCCCATCCTCGTCAGCTGACGAGACCTCCATGCATTATTTATGCTGCACTCATGTTACAGCTACACAAAAAAAAAAAAGAAAAAAAAGGAAAGTCAGCAAGGGCCTGGCCTGAAGCTGTTAAATAGAAAGAATGCGATGCTGAATTTGGGCAGTTATCTTTCAGGGTAGGCCATGCAAAGAACTTTTCTGGAAACAAAGCAGTCACGCTGACAATCAGTGTAGCTGCCTGCCAAAGGGTGGACATTTTACAGAAACACGGTCAACAATAAAGGAGTCGGCGTCTCAATAAAAGTCACTGGATTCTTGCTTTTGTCCTGAGCATCTGATAGGGGCACCCCAGAAACACTGACATTGCCACAGCATCCATCTTAAGACCGTCAGGCAGCTGGGCTGGGTTTCAATCTCCCAGGTTTTCTGCTGTGTGTGCATCCCCCTGACCTTTTATACGGCCTCCCAAAAAGCAGCCAGAAACATCTCCGGCTGAATTTCAGAAACGCCTGATAACCCACATGCGATTCCAGAGCTCCGACCTTGAAAACAATCTCAAAGACAGCATTTGAAAGGAAAAAAAGAAAAACCGACCCAAGCAGCGAGCCTCACGTGGCCTTGCCCAGCTTTAAGAGGAACGGGATTTTCTGGAGAACCCCTCCCTCGATCCCCCCATAACCTACTTAATGCACATCCCAGCCAAAAGCAGAGGCCTCAGCAAGGTGCAGGCGTGCATCCTCCCCGTGCCCCATCATCCGAGGAGCAGCCGAGGCCACCTTAGGAGATGTCACCCCACCGGCTGGTGCCTCCTTCGGGCCCAGGGTGCCCCCACCTCAGCCATGCACCCCCAGCAGACTTCTCTTCGGCCTCTGCAGGTCGTCTCCGAGCATCTCCCGGGGACTGGGAGCAGCCGAACCGCCAGCACAGCCGGAGTACAAATGATTCAGCACTTTCCCCACCTCCAGGAGCCTGATCGATAGCAGCGAGCCCTTCTGCAGGCGCAGCCCGAGCATGCGGCCCCAAAGCATCCCCAGCGCTGCGCCCCGCGGGGCCGGCTCCATCTCACGCAGCAGCAGCCCAGGTGCTGCCACAGAGGCCTCTCGGTGAGGCCAGGGATGCATTTTACCAACACAGGGGGTTTCAGAAGGAGAACACGAGCGTGGCCACGAGCATAGAGGGAAGGAGCAGGGCGCAGCATCCCCCAGCAGATTTTGGGGCCAAAACTTGCCCCGTCACACCAACATCCGTACCCCAGCTGCATTCCCCTGCCTGCATCCTGTTCCCCCAGGGCTGACCCATCAGGGTTTTATCCCACACATACACCATATCATGACCCAAAAGTAAAAATCCCAACACACACCCGAGCCCAGCACCCAGCTCCCCCCGCATGCGGCTCTGGCCCATTTCTGGGAGACGGGAAAAAAACGGGGGGACCCAGGCAGTGGGGCCCCAAACCCGCGATGTGGATGAGGAGCCAAGAACCCCCCCAAGCCCTGGCTGTGCCCTGGGGGTGCCCGTGCCCAGCATCCCCCTAGGGCCCCCCTTACCTGCTCCGGGAGCGCCGGGGCTCGCCGCAGCCGGGGCTCGCCGCGCCGCACTGCGCGCTCCCGGGCGCGGCCGCGCCGCACTGCGCGCTCCCGAGCGGCCGAGCGCGCCCCCGACGAGGAGGAGGAGGAGGAGGAGAAAGAGGAGGAGGCAGGGAGAGAGGGAGGAGAAGGGGAGGGATTTCTTAGCGGCGCCGTTAATTAGCACCTGCACCTCCCCAGCTCCGGCTCTGCCCTCCCGGGCACCCCAAGCGCAAGAGGGGACTGGAAAGGGGGAGGGGGATGCCAAGCTCTGGAGCCCATTTCGGGCGAAAAATCGGGTTCTTCTGAGAACAGGGGGGTTACCCAGGTGCAGGGCTCCCTCCCTGCCCCATGCCGGGTGCAGAAGTCCCGCAGCTTGGCTGGGGGGCACGGATGGATGCAGCTGGGGGCTGCCTGCAAGCCGGTGTGCCCCCGCCGGGTGCCAGGCTGCTGTCAGCATCACAGCCCTGCCATCTCCTCGCTGAGTTGCTCATCAGAAACGTCAGCTTAATTAAAACCTCCCCCGTCTAGGAAAGGCTCACAGTGGGACCTGCCACTTCCCTCGCCATCCCCATCACGGGATTTCATTACAAATGTTCTGCTGAGGTTGGGGAGCTTCGGTCCAGAGCACCACGCTCGTCCTGACTGGTTTAGCCTGTCCTCTAGACAACATGTATTGAACAAGCTGCTGCACATCATGCATTTGAGCCCTTTATGGGGTTTGTCATGAAAAGCTTAGCCCAAAAGACACACTTGCATTTACACACGTTGCTATCCCATGAACATCAGAGAAGAAATCACCTGCTAAGTCGTGTGTGTGTCCTACAGGACCTCCAGAGGAAAGGACCTTCCTCGGGGGGCTGGGAAAGGGGCTGTAGGCTGCAATTTTACTATCGGGTGGTAGGCACAGTCATACAAAACCAGCCCCAGAGAGCAGGTGCTGCAGGAGAGCAGCGGCCCAGCTGATAGAAATTAAGGAAGATAAATTAATTAAAAATAGCTAAGCCAGAGCAGAGCTCCAAGCACCCAACCCACAGCTGCCAGGAAACAGGGGCAAAGCCAAACCACACAGCAGAGCAGGGAGGGATCAGCAGCAAAGCACAACACGAGTGTGCTTTTAAGGCCCTTTCACTATTAAGGTCACTGAGACGCAGGCCTGCCTCCCTCAGGAGCTGCTGAGCACCTCTGGAAATATTAGATATCACCAGGCTTTGCCATTTCTGCCAGGATCCCATTGTACAGCTATATTTAGGGCAGGAATTTGTAAAGTCATTCTTCAAGAGTTGCCTTTCAAGCTGTGTGGAGTGCTTCTCCAAGATGCTGATTGCTGCTAGCTCCAGAGGGGTTCGAGGGCGTGCTGGGCTTCATAGGAGCTGCTCCATGCCATCCAAAATTTACCTCTCTGCCTTGTTCCTACAAGTGTCCCATCCTGTCAGTGGTGCTGGTTGCAAAGCAGCCGGCCGTGAAGGGACTGAGGCATTCCTCCTTGGTTTTGGAAGTCTCTCTGCAGAGAATTTGTGAAGAATCCTATCTGGAGGAAAGCACTGCCTGCCTCCATCATGCAAATAATTCTTTGGGGTACGAACCAACGTTGGTTCACTTTTTGTAGCTACCCCAGAGAGGTGCACTGGAAGAAATGGTGAGCTGGGCTCTGATGAAAAGCTTTTTTTTTTTTTTTTTTTTTCTTCCTGATGTAAAGAGGTTGCATCCTGCACACACAAGACATTTGTGACAGCTAACAATTAAAATCAGTGTGAACCTAGGCCCAGGTTCCTGGTGTTTCCCAGCACGTATCCAGTTGAACTAGGAGGACATCCCTTACCAACAGAGAGAGGCATATGTACAGCAGTTATTGAGCCAGATCTTCCTGCAGGGCAGATCCCAGCCGCGGCAGGCTCTGACGCAGCAGTGGTGTGCTCCCTCCTTGGCTCTGATCCTTGCCAGATCCACTCTGGGTATTTGCCTTCGCTCTGGAGCTCTGGTGGGTTCCTCTCTTTGCCTTCTCCCTGGAGATCCACTGCAATCAAATTAACGGGGTTAACCAGGGAACGGGCAATGTGGAGAAATTAGATGAGATCCTCTCCTCCAACCAATCTCTCTGAAGAAAATATTGATCAGCCTTAAAGCATTTGCACTTGGAAAGATGGATTCGCGTGTGCCCTACTGTGACACCCAAGCCCTTCAGGAAAGGCTGGTGATGGATGCACGTCCCAGGCACTTTATTTTAATGGCACAGCAGCCCCTCTTGCCCCTAGGACATAAATCATGGTTGCAGCCAGCCTGTGCTTCCCCAGTTGCGAGCACAGGACACAAAGCCCTTCCTGTCTGTGGCTACACCAGCCCTGGCAGAGGTGCCTTGCCTCGTTAATGCACCTGCAATTTACTTTTTTTTTTTTTTTTCCCAGCATTGGTGCAGAGGATTTAAATCCTAGCCTACAATTTAAATCCTCCCATCCTTTTATTTGCTCAGCCAGAGCAAACGTGCGCGCCCTTTCAATGCAAGCACACACTTTGGACTCGACATTTTAAGAGGGGAAAGGATCCTTCTGCTCCGAGCACCCAGTTTCAGACACCTCAGCCCTCCCTTTCCAGCCTCACCAAACCTCAGCAGCTGCAGCAGGACAAAACCCCCAACCTGTTGCTTCCAACCCCCCCCCCCCGGGGCTGGTGGGTGCTGCTGAGCCCAGCCCGGCTCTGCGGTTCGCTGTGCGCTGCTGCCATCTGCTGCTGCCGGCAGAAAAACATTTTCTTCCCTCTCCAGGACGGTTGCATTCAGCATCCACAAAGCCCCCTAGCACAACGCAGGGGTGTAGCGCAGCTCCAAGTCCTGCCCAAGAGCCTCTTGCAGATCCCCTGTTGTGGGCGCACTGGGAAGGGTCCGCAGCAAACTGGGAGAGCGGCTCCCCCGTTCCCTGCAGAATTCCCCCAAAAGATGATCTCCTTGGCTCTGAATTGAAGCTTTCTGTGTGCACATTGCAGGCATGGAAGAGGTGGAAGAGAAAGCAGGGCAAGTTTTATGGCCCCTGCAACGGAGAGAACCAGCAAACCCGAGCGAGGCCGGTTGCTGCAGGGAGCTGTGGCCAAGCAATCCTCCACCTTTGCCAGAGCCCTGTGTCACCCTGATCCCCGGGAGCATTTCAGTCGATTGCCTTCCTTGGAGCGGTGCAGGGACTGGCTGGGTTTGGATTTTGCTGTTTTCTGGGCTCTGCAGGAGCAGCCTCTGTCTGTGCCCAGGCTTCCAGCTCAGGCAGCCTCCAGCGCCTCGCTGGTGCTCTCCAACACCTCATGCACTGAGCAGGAAATGTATTTCTGTGCTCAGTCTTTAGTTCTCTTCTGTAGGGCCTCTAGTATTTAAACTGATAGCAAAGAGCCACAGCTGCCTGTTGGGAAGGATGATTTAATTCCCAAGAAGTTACACACGAGCAGCCCTGGAGCAGGGAAAGGAGGTTTCTGGGCTCAGCTGGGTGCCAGCTGGGGGAGTGCTCTGCACCCCGTGGAGGGATTTACGTGGTGTCAGCCAGGCGTGCTCTAGCCTTATTTCCAGGACAAGGCTTCCTTCTACCTTTAGTTCCACAACAGAGGATCCTCATGGCTGTGCACATAAGGATCTGTGGAGTTTGCAGCCCCAGGCTCACAGCTCCTGACCTGACGGGGAGCCACTCGGTGGGACGCTGGCTGCAGGGAGCCTGCTGGGGCACCCAGGGGTGCTCACAGCCTGGTGAGGATCACCCTACTGCTGGCACCGCTGAGAGCAAAGCCTGCTGCAGACTGGCAGGTAGGCAGCCACCAGCCCACGGAGTTGTCTCTGTTGCACAGCTCCAGGCGTTCCCGGAGACTCCTGTGTCTAACACCAGCTCACTATGAAATATTAAGCAGCTCAATGTGAACAAAGCTTCGCTCTGACACTGCTCTTTCCAGACAGATTTCGAGATCACAGAGACAAGAGCCCAGCATCCTTCCCTTTCTTGCCCCTAGAGCTTGACCTTCTGGGGCCAGGCAGGGTGGCATTGCCCCCAGCTCAATAGCATCACACCCCATAAGCACTTTATAGACTTGAGGAGCACTGAATGCTTCCCTTTACTCATTTATTGCCAGCAGGTTAGGAGTTTGCTCAGCTGGAAAAGCCTAGGCCTGCTTGCCTGAGCTCACATCACCTTGGTTTCCTATACGAGCCTGCTGCTCTCGAAGCAAGAGGTCAGTCGTGTTGCTCTGCCATAAAGCCTAAGATAATTTCCAGCACTCTCCCGATGGCAAATTTAAAAGATCATACTTCCTGAAACACCTTTCTACAGCTATTCATGTCATATCCACGTTCTCCATTGGTTAACATGAAGAATAACGTACATTGCTTTTGCTTTCTCTCATCTGATGTAGGAATTGTTGGCCCAGAGCACACGTACACAAATCTCTCTTTACTCCTGCAGAAGTCAGGCTGTACCTGTCAGAGCCTGGGAAAAGCCATGTGGGAGCCTATCCTCAGCCAGAACTGAGTCCCCTGAATGTGTTCAGTGCACTACGCCACTAGATTGCAGCAAAACACCAAGTTCTGCTGCCAGCTCGCCTGCTGGATGGGAGCAAGGAGCAAACAGAGCAGCTGAGACATCTTGCAGTCACTCAAGCAAAAACATAGGTGAGAAATCCTGCAGAAAGTGAGCCAAAGCAAATGAAATCAATGCCTTTAGGATGCCCATAACCCCCAGGAATCCCTCCCTCACCCACTCTTGGGCTGGAAGCACAGCCCATCGCTGCAGCAGGCATCCATCTCAGCCAGTTTGTCCCAGGCACTGCGGTGCCGTGGAGGTAAATGTCCTGGTGAAACCAGGCCATGGTTTTATACTGAGCTTGCACAAACATTTGGCCAAATTGAAACTTGGCTGTGAATCCTCCAAGGAAGAGGTGACCTAGGAGGAACTGATGAGCTGACAAAGACAGCGTGGTCCTAGAGGCAGAGGGACCGTCAGGCGGCAGTGCCCGTCCCCAGGCCACTCTTCTGCAGTTCCCTTTGTGTAACCCAGCACATTCAAAGAGCAAACCCACAAACAAAAAATCA